TCCCTTAAAATGGTCTTGAGGATTCCCCTGGATGGGAGAGGATTCCCAGAGATCCTCAGATCCCACAGTGAAATACATTATGTTCAGGGAGTTACACACAGGTTGATGCCACCAAAGCATAAGGCACCAGGTGCAGTGAAACAGAGCATGCACCCTCACAGGCCTCATGAACACTGTACTCTACAAGAAGATGGCTTGTGCTTAGACAGAGAAATATAATAGGAGGCTGTGAAACATAGCCAAGAAGTTTACAGTGATATATATATATATATATTAAAAAAAAAAAAAAAAAGACTTCCTAGACTCAGCCCTGGCTCCTTCCTCACATCAGTGGTCAGTCGCCGAACCTGGATTTGGGAGTCTGTGGTCAGAGTTCCTGCTCGCTCAGGAAGTCATTTACATTGGCAGAGGAGGAGCCTGGGGCAGGATCCTCAGCTGTGCCTGCCAGGTGGTTTCCGGTGCTGAACTAAATTGAGATCATCTCATTCATTTGTTCAACAGACATTTGATAATTCCAACTCCATGCTGGGTCCTACGCTTTAGGAACAAAAAGAAATACAGTCCTTGCTCTTAAGGTGCTCATGGTCCAGCCGGGAAGAGAAATAACAGAACTCCAAAACAGTCTAACAAAGCTAAATGGCAGTGTATTCTACACCATACAGGGAAAAGATAATTATTCAGCCTGAGGTAGAACAGGGAAGATTCCACTGGAAAGAGATCATTTTAGCTGAAGAATGAGTAGGAGTTTACAGGTACAAAAATAGAGTGGATAGTAGGGAAAAGGAGCAAAAAGGAGAAAGGTGTTTAAAGGAATCAGAATGTTTGCAGAAAGTGTGACAAAGGATTGGGTGTAACAGAATATGACTGAAATGAAGGGATCATATCAGAATAGTACCAAAGAACGGGCCTCCAACAGGTCCTTAAGCTTTTTCTGTGGAACAGTGTATTTCAAACTTAATGTACTGAGCTCTTTTTAAAGGAAAGACACATACATGTATGTGTGTATGTGTGTGCATTTGTATATGTGGATCACTGCAAACTTCTCAGATCAGAGAACCCATAAGAAAATAGGCTACCCCAGTTTGAGAAACACTGCTGCCAGCAAGAAACAGGGTGGCACCCTGCTCGGGTTAAAATCCTACACTTATCTGTGTCTGCCCATCCTTACAAGGTGCTTAATCATTATTTGTGGAACTGAACTGAAATTGGATGATCCATGTGTTTAACAAGTTTTCTAACAATTAAGACCCTGGCTCTGAGTGGGGATAGGGGCAGTAGTAATAGCCCAAGTAAGCTACACAGAGTTTGAATTATAGCAAGCTTGGAGGAGATGGGGAAGATATTTTAAGAGCCACTGATGGCATAAACTCAGAAGGGGTATTTCATCTCATGCTCCAGCCCAAGTGTAGAAGTTCCTCTGGCTGTGGTTTTCTCCTTCCCTTCTTCTCATTCCTCCAAATCCTCATCCTTCTCTTCTTCCTCCCCACTCCTAAGCTCCCAGCTTTCTGTTTTTAATCAAAATAGTCTCAGACTGTTCAGATGAGAACCCTTGCTTCTCCCCAAATGAGACAATTCAACTCTAGCCCTTCCATGAAAGCTTCAACTTCAATATAGGACAACCTTAGTCCATGGTATTTGGAAAAATAATTGGATGAATATGGCCAGAACTGGTACTTGGACATCCAGGCCAGTTCACACTTTATTTTTTCCATTTGGCCTCCATGATTTGAATATTTATCTCCACATGCAAAGATGCTCACAGCAAGCTATTAGAACCCCAAGGATCAGTGCCCTTTGTTTCCTCCACCTCCATGTGGAGGAAACACACTCCAAACCCTGTGGATACCATCAGCCTTGGGGTGCAGCTGAGAACCCTAAGCTGAGTTCAACCTTCAGAGCAGAAGCCACTCAGCCAGTAAAGAAACTCAACATTGGGCAATACAAAACAGGAGCAGGACATTCTTGGGTTTTAAGATCTGCAAAGTAGAATCGAGATCTCGAGATGACAGCACAGTGGGGGATTGGCTACAAGCCCTAAGCAAGCTCTACCACAGCAGAGATGAGCTGTGGGCTGGGGCATCTGCGGTGAGGTAGTGGTGTTTTTGGAGAACAGATCAGAGGCGGGGGAAAACCAAGCAGAAGCAGGAGCTGAAACCCTCAGACCGGCACCAGGTGTGTATGGCCTTCACCTTGCTCCCTTTTCCAACCAGGGATAACTGTTTCCCCTAAGCCCCAGGCTATCAGGGTGTGACTGCCTAGAAAAGGTCAGCAACAGGCCTGTAAGTAGTAGTTCTTCCCATACACTGTAACACTGGGCTTCAGTGTGGGGAGAACTCGGGCTCAGGTCAGGAAACTACATGCCCCATTTGCAACAATTTGGCTGCAACTTTCCTGCCTGCCCTGGGGAGTCTGGGAAGGCAGAACTGTGGACAAGAGATTTTGTTCAAGCCCCAAACTTGGGTGGCCCTCCATCCCCAATGAAGGGGCTATCATGAATTGTCTGTTATTACAACATGAATGGAAAAGTAATCTGGGATTGAGCTAAAATACAAATATAGCTGGAAAAGGCAAAATGTTGAATTAAAGCCATACTATGGAGCAGGGAGAGAGGAAACTATCCAAAAAGGATAGAAGACTGAGGAAATTTTTAAAATATTGTCTTACGCCTGCTTTCTTTCCATGCAACAGTAAGATAATCCTTAAATGTGGTGGGGTTGGTTGCAGAGCAGGAGCCAGGGCAAAGAAAAATGTGTGGAGTTGGACAAGTTGAACCAGGGGAGTGGGTGGGGAGCCAGTTGATTTCAGGACCTGCAGATTGACAGTGAACAGGCCACTTGGGGAATGCAGCTATTTTACCAGTGACTCCAAGGCCAAACAGTGGATGTCTTTGTCCATGTCTTTCATCTGTCCCAAAGCCCTGTGGTTATTACAGATGCCAAATCCCTGACTCTCAGCTCTCTGTCTCACATGAGACATTGAGAAAAACATTAATAGCAGAATGCACTTTAAAAATTGTTTTTGGCAAAGCTTTTTGCTTTTGCAAGGCCCAGCTGAGTAACACAGGAAGCAGATAGGGTGGGGGCACCCCCCGCCCCCCATGGTTAGAAGAATCAGCCAAACAAGATCAAAACAGGAGCTATAAGATACCACTTCCTGCCTCCCCCAGGCACCCTGACACTCATGCAGGGAGGCAGACCTCAAAACAGAGGCCACTCCTCTACCCCCAGACTGTTATAGGCCTGAATTACTATAAGGGATGGAAATATCCAGGCGGTCTGAAAGGGGCCACAGCACCCCAGGCCTGAAGAGAAGTGGAATTTGTAGATCCCACAAGCCTCCCACAGGGCCTGGATGGAAAAAGTCAGAGAAAGAATATGAAAACCAGCATTGCTGAAGAGGCCCACGCTGTTTCTCTGGGAAACTTAATATCACTGATAGCTCCCCAACCCCCTAGACAGATATACCTGAAAACAAAACCCCTACCTGGTAAAAGAAAAAAAAGGGGGGGAGTCTACAGGTGGAGGGAACAAAGCAGCAAGGGTGTTTTCAGCTACTCAGTTGAAATGTTGAAAAATTGAAAAACAGACAATGGCCCCCTGCCCACCTTTCTCTACTCAGCCTTGAGATCAAGCAATCTTGGAATGTCCCAAATGCCATTAGATGCCTAGCATGCGCAAGGACCTGGGTTCCACCCCCAGCACCACAAAAAATAAAAATAAGAAACCATTAGACTGGCCCAGCTTGTGCATAAGTAAAATATCACTTCTGGGAAGCCTACTTACCCTGCCTCTGCTCCTACCCTGCTTTAATATCTCTCCCCACTCTCCCTTCATTTTGTGCTTTCTTAAAGAATTTCCCATCTTGAGTCATGGGCCAGGCAGGGAGGAGAGGGTGTTAGTACAGTCGGTCTGTCATATCTGCAGGTTTCACATCCTCAGACTGAACCAACCTCAGATCAAAAATAATTGAAAAAAAATCTTGTCTTTCTTGTCCCTAGTCCCTATGCAACAATTTACATAGCATTTTCATTGCATTATAGGTAATCTAGAAATGATTTTAAGTATATGAGAGGATGTACATAGGTTATAAGTAAATACCACACCATTAAATAAAAGGGACTTGAGTATCCATGGATACTTTGCACTCTGGGGCAAAGGGAGGTCCAAGAGCCCCTGCTGGGCACCAAAGGATGACTGTATGTGAGGGATGTTATAACAAAATACTAGACTAGATGAATTCAACAATAGAAGCTTATTTTCTCACAGTTCTGGAGACAAAGTATGACATTCAGGTTTCTTCTCTTCATTGTTTCCTTGGTTGCAAGTGTTCATCTTTGTCTTCACGTGATCTACCTTTGTTATATCCTAGTGTCCTCATCTCCTCTTTTTGTAAAAATACCATTTATATTGAATAAGGGCCTTACTAATTTTTAAGTAATTACTTGTTTTAACTTAATTACTTCTTTAAGACCCTACCTCCAATATGGTCATGTTCTCAGGTACTGAGAAGGGTTGAACTTCAACATATATATTTTGGGGGGGGGCTATAATTTTGCCAAAATAGGGAATAATCAAGAGAATGCAGATTCTGCCTGGACAGAGAGATCCTTTTAGTCTTACTGGCCTATTCTTTATAGATAAAGCCTGAAAGGAGATGAGGAATACAGAAGTACCTACAGGGGAAAGAGGTCTTGAAAAAGGACAGCTTAGAAATGTTCCTTCTAATGGCCTCCTACTATGATATCTGATTTATTGGATAAAGAGCCTTGAGATGAGAAGAGGACTGGGGAGCCAGTCAGAATTGTCCTTGTCTTAGTACAGAGAAAGAGAAAATCCTCTCCTACTCAATCAACATTTGTCATCTCTGTTCCTCTTTACCAGCTGAAAAAATTCAGTTCGACAAACATTATTTAAGTACTGACCATGTGCCAGGCTGAGAATGTAGAGTTAATTTCTGTGCAGACTATGTTTTGGCTTACTAACTCATCCCATTTACTCTAGGGACAAGTTAATGAAGACAAATTGAAGGGCAAACTAAGGTCCTTAGAAAACCAACTCTACACCTGTACTCAGGTAAGCATTCTAGAGGACATTTACACCTCATAAATCTAGAATTAAATAAGAATGTTTGAACCTTAATCCAACTTTCTAAAAATGCTATCATATAGGGATTAACGCACATATTCTTACCTAGTTCTGGTTGGTAGTTTTCATTTTGGTCCCTAATTTGCCATATCACTATCTCCACCCTTCTCTTTCTCCTAGTATCCTTCTGTTTGCACCCTGGGAAAGAATCCTAGCACTGAACATTTGTGGGCTCCAGGGGAATCCGGAGAATTCCCTCAACTATAGAGAGAGTGCTTGGTAAAGATGTACACTACCCAGCTAAGCGTCACAGGCCCCAATCTTTCCATGGACAACTTTTTTTTCTAGTAGTAACCTCAGTAAGAAAGGAAGAGTGTTGACTCTTGGTTTGTGATATTATTATTCAGCTTTAGTAAATTAACTTTCACATTTGAGAAGGAGTGGATGCCTGATAGGTGGGGAGATGTCAGGTAAGAAAATGGGGAGGGGGGGACCTAGCAGACTTCTTTCATTTAAAGATAAAGTACTTTGGGCTGCATAGCTGGAGTCTTGCAGAACAGAGCTCATATAGTCTATAGGTTTCCTGGCCCACACATTTTTTCAATATGACCTGCTTTATTAAGCTCTTAGGAACCAAGGTATGTCAACCAAGCTTGTAAGAGACTAAAGTATAATTCAGAGTACCAGTCTATTCATTTTCGATGGGGAATGAAGCCAGAACTAGTATGGTTAAGTCCAATAACTAGGACATCTGCCATATATGACCTCAATGAATCACTCCTAGATTTGGTTTTTAACAAAAATTCCAAAAACATAAGACCCATTCACATATAAATACAAAATTTTAGACAACTCCAAGGCTAAATGGAAATAGCTCACATTGATTCCTAAATTTTCATTATCTGGACTACTGCTTACCCAGTGAGTAATCTAGAATTGACAGTAAAAGCTGCCCACTTTTCCCAAAATTACAGACCATGGGAAGGGCAAGATTCCTGGTGAGTTTGAAATTTTGTTCCAAGACAAATTTTTTAAATCCATTAATTTTAAAACGTAGAGTTTACTAGGAATTTCTCAGATCCCTGAGGCTATAAAGATTTTTTTTTTCTTTTAAGCAGCAGAAGCAGCATGCTTCATACTCTGAAGGCATTTACTCATGTCTCTCCAGTAAGGGAGACATGAGTGAATTGGGCAGAACAATGGAGGCATATGAACACTAAGAAAAGCTACCTAATCCATAAGGAATTATGTATGAGCTGAGGGTAGTTAGTTAAGATGTACAGGGAAGCTCAATGTGTATTTGTCGAAATGCATTAAATTTACAGAAATATTCCCCTTGGGGAATGAAAAAGGTGCTCTTGGAGATGGAAGACCAGAAAAACAGCTATGAGCAGAAGGCCAAGGAGTCACTGCAGAAAGTGCTGGAGGAGAAAATGAGGGCCGAGCAGCAACTGCAGAGCACACAGGTGGGGAATGCTTCATTCTGTAGGACTGGAGACCCCAGAAACAGCTCTGGGAAGCAAGGGAACCAGCTGAGCTGCTCCCTGTGCAGCTCCTCTCATCAAATACACCTGGCACTTGTTATTGTACTATAAACAAATGAGGGGATTCACTTTGCCTTTGCAATCCTTCTTCTAAATCTCTGCCTTGATTGTTGAGGCTTCCACTGGAACCCCTTCCTCTCTGATCTTCCTCAGCGGTCCCTGGCCCTAGCAGAGCAGAAGTGTGAAGAGTGGAGAGGCCAATATGAGGCTCTGAAGGAGGACTTGAGGATCCTAGGGACCCAGCACAGAGAGCTAGAGAACCAACTCCACGTACTTCAGTCCAAACTTCAGGTACAGGGATGGGGAGGGAAGGGCTGTGATGAGAAAAGCTGATTCTGGGACAGGGGTCCCAAAGGCAGCAGCGAGCACTAAGCTTTCAGATCCTTACTCACTGCCTACTCTGTGCCACATTCATTGTTTTGGCTTTGAAATATAATTTTGAGTTTAGTAAGGATGACAGCACTGCTCATGCAAATGAACTGTTCCTTGAAATGACTCTATCCAAATGCAAAGAGCAGCCCAGCCCTTTGCTGCCCTTTGCATTTCATTGGCTGATGAATGCATAAGGGGTTGGGAATGTCATATCCCAACCCACTATCTGAACACCATCCCAGTACAGCATCCAGTTCAGAACTGCACAGAATAAATTTGTTTATTTATAGGTGCTAACATATCCTGCCAATGTGTTTTTAAGAGACTGTATTCAGAGGCGTTCCATGATTTCTAATTTGTTGTTACCTTAGAAAAGTTAACAAACCTCCTAAATCTCAGTTTCCTCATCTCTAAAATGCAGGTAACAGTACTTATATCACAGGGTTGCTGTATGGATTAAATAATCATGCAAAGCTCTTAGCATAATGCTTGACACATATAGGCATTCAATGCATATTAGCTATCACTTTGCATAGATTTCACTTACTTGGTTTGGAACTTTGAGGATCTATCCCAAAAGTTGATGTTTACAATTTTCCTGAAACAACAATCAGAATAGCATACTTGATGAGAAGGAATGTGGGAGAGAACCTCTCTGGCCACTCTGTATGGCATCTACATCTCAACCTTTGCTCTCTTCTTCCCATCATCTATATGGCAATTCTTAGGAAGGTATTTGGAGTTTTTAAACCTTAATTCTTTGTGACAATGGCCCTGCTCCCCCACTCCACCACCACATACAAATTGACAATGCTACAAAAAGTAAAGTGAAAATAACTGGAAGTTATACTTGGTATGTCTTAATCTGGGGTTTTGCCAAGGTGTCAGGATATGTCGCTTATGTTTGTTTGGTGATGCTGGAGTTTGAACTCAGGACCTGAAGCTCAGGACAAGCACTCTGCCACTTGAGCCATGTCTCCAGCCCTGTTTTACTCTTAGGTTACTTTTCAGAAAGGACCTCACGTTATTTGCTCAGGGCCAGCCTGGACTGGGATCCACCTATCTATAGCCTCCCACGTAGCTGGAACCACAGGCACATACCACCACACCCAGATTATTGGTTGAAATGGGGTTTTCTCACTAACTTTTTGCCCTGGCTGGCCTTAAACAGAGACCTTCCTGATCTCTGCCTCCTGAGTAACTGGGATAACAGGCATGAGCCATAGCACCCAGGTCAGACGGGTCCCTTATGAATATCAAAAGTCTAATACGTTGCTATAAATATTGATAAACAAGGCACAGCAAAAGAATACAAAACAAACCTTCCTTATTTTTCCATTTCCCTAATCCTCCTAGCTCTAAAATTCTACAATTTTCTTAACTTTCCTCTTCTATGGGACCTGCTTCTGTGCTGGCCCCTCCTCCTCCTTGCAGGGAGCAGACAGCAGAGACTCACAGATGAACCAGGCCCTGCGACTTTTGGAGTATGAGCATCAAGAGTTGCAGGCCAAGATTGAATGCCTGCAAGGGGACAGAGACCTGTACAGCTCTGAAACCCAGGACCTACAAGGTATCCTTCTCCTTGGAGGCCTCAGGAGTTTGGGAACCATGGCTGAGTAAGCTCAGAGAAAGAAGGCTGGGTGGAGAAAAGGCTTCAGCCTTTGTTTGCTTGGCCTTATGATTTCCTTTTACCTTGAGGGAAAGACAGGGCTATTTTAATCATTCAAGACAAAAACTAATTTTGCTTCACTAGAGGATCTTGTATGAGTTTTCTCCAGCCCCTCCCTGCAGGCCAAACCACAGCTGTTCCCCTATTAGTCACATGTGTCAAAGTCACATTCCTAATTTGAAAGGGAAAGGTCAGTGCAAACATAAGGCAGAGTGAAGAACTCCCAGTCAGTCTGTGTCGGCTGAGAAAAGACCTGAGTATAAATACAATCGTTAGGTCAACCCAACATTGTGATGCAGACCCCTAGTTGTGACTAAGGTACTTGGGTGCTATCTCCCTCCTCAGAACTGGCACAAGTAGAAGACAAAGCACCTTCCACCTGACACATAGCAGAGGCCACAGACAAGACAGTACCTATTACTAATTTCTATCACTAGGTGTTGAGTTCATGATACTGAGTTCTTCTAATTTGGTTTGCATTTCATTTTCAGATCAACTAAAGAGATCAGAGGAGGAGAAACTCACCCTGGTGACTACAGTACAGCAGCTGCAGGGTAAGTTTCCTTTTCAGTCAAACTGGCACAGGTGGCTTTTTGGTATCCCTGGGGCTCCTGTCCTTCAAAAGGCATTCATAGGAAGGACAAGGGGGTCTAATCTCTAGTATATCTCCTACTTCTGTGCATTTTCAGACCCACTTCTTGTTAAGTGGGGTCTTTTTCATAGTTCTTCACAAGTTATATGTTAGCTTCTGTTTCTTTTTTTTCCCCCTTTCTACTTTTCTCCTCCCATGCCAATGACAACTTGCCTTTCCATGAGAATTGCAGATTTTAAAAAGTATCAGGTTTTCTAAGGTAGTTCTTTTCTTACATATCCTAACTTGTTATGTACATGAATGTGTCACTTAGGTTTTTCTCACTAGAAATGGTTCAGAAACTAAGCATTTCTCGAGGAGCCCCTACTAAGAGTCAGGCACCCTAGACATATGCACTGAGGATATAACAGCAAACAAAAGTAACAGTTCCTTCCCTATGAGGCTTACATTCTAAGTAAGTCTAATATGTGAAGTCATAATCATTATTATGGAGAAAATAAAGCAGGTTAAAGGTAAAATAGTCACTACTTCATATAAGGCCATCTGGGAAAGCTTTTCTTCTTAAGTAACATTTAAGCAGAGACTTGGCAATAAAGACATTATAAGAGATATACTAGGATGGTATATTTCGAACAAAGTACCAGTTTGGGCAATTTGAAGAGCAGAAATATATTGTCTCATGCTTCTGGAGGTTAGAAGTCCAAATTTAAGGTGTCAGTAGAATTGGTTTCTTCTGAGGGATATGAGGGAAGGACCAGCAAAAAGGCTATCTTCTCCTTATATTTCTTCCTATCATTTTCCCCTGGAGCATATCTGTGTATGAAATTTCCCCTTTGTTTTTTTTTTCTTGGCAGTTCTGGGGTTTGAACTCAGAGCCTCACACTTGTTAGGCAATCTACCACTTGATCCACTTTGCCAGCCCTTTTTTGTATTGGGTATTTTTGAGATCGGGTCTCATTAACTATTTGTCTAGGCTGGCCTCGAACCATGATCCTCCTGATGTCTGACTGTTAAGTAGCTAGGATTACAGGCGGGAACCACCAGTGCCTGGCTTGAATTTCCCCTTCTTATAAGAATTTCAGTTGTCTGAGTTAGGACCCACCTTAATAACCTCATTTTTTACTTGGTAAACACTATAAAGACTCCGTCTCCAAGGAAGACCACATTCTGAGGTACTGGGGGTCAGGACTTCAATATATAAATTTTAAGGAACAAAACCCAATCCATAACAGATGGGACTATCTTTTCAATTAAGGTTCTAAACAAAGGTCAGAAAAGAGGTCTTGATAGTAAATCTGCTAGCATATATAAGCTCCATGTGTTTTCCAACAGGTCTGCTTCAGAATCAATCCTTACAACTTCAAGAACAAGAGAAACTCTTAAAGAAAGGTCAGCAAATTTAATAGCACAAATTCTAATATACTGTTCTTTCCTTGCCTGCCTAGATGCGTGGGGATAGACAACATGACCTCTTGGAATCCCATCCAATTCTGGGAGTCCGTTTAGTCAGGGATGTAGGAAGCTCTTAAGGAATGATCATTGACTCTCAGGACACTTTTACCTAGTTACTCTTCTATTATGAGAGGTATATAAACTGTAAAAAGTATTTCTACTTTCTCTGAAAACATGTTTATGTTGAAAATTTCAATAAACTGGTTTTGAACTCAGGATTTCATGTCAATTTTTACACTTGCTTGACTGTACAAATCACATCCAACTTCCCTGTCCCAAACAATGTGGCAAGAAAAAGTCATCTCACTTTAACCCTAAATAGTCTGCTGCCCAAAATTCCTGAGAATTTATCACTTACACAGATGGGGGCAATAGCTCCTCACTTATTCACAACACATGGTCTTTTGTTTTGTGAGGGTTTTTTCACAATCACTGGGTATAATATAAAAGAGAAGCAGAAATTATTATACCCACATAGTAAAGAAAGTAAAGGTCTCTGGTCATACAAATTAAAGAGAGTTTAAAGAATAAAAATGACTCCTAATCCAGTAATCTTTTCACCAAGACTAAGATTGCAAGGTGGCTGAAAATCCATCTTTAACAACAGAAGACAAATTCTAGGATTACTCCCATTTTTAGGACTTTGAAATGAGGATATAAAGGAAACAGAAATACACAGATGCATGAAGCAAACCTACCTGACAAACTAGAAATTAGGTGATATACAACCAAAGTTATTCAATTAATAAGTATTTGCTAAAAGTGCAAGTAAGACTGGATACAAAGAAAAATAAGATGCCAACCTTGCTGTCAAGGAGCTCAAACTCCAGTTATCTGTCTAGACAGAGCAGAGAAGGTCCCAATGAGAGTTCCATTCCATTCAGTTTAGCCAAGGGCAGGTCCTCCCTGCTCCCTCCCCTCCCCAACTCCTAGAAGTTCTCACTCAATAACAGGGCCCTTCCTCAAGTGGGTTTCACTATCACTGAGAATCTGGCTGCTTTTTTAGATCAGGATTTGCCTGTGTGGAATCCAAAACCATCTCACAATGAAATGGAGCCGGAGGGTACAGGGCAGGAGAAAGACTGGGATCTCAGAGACCAGCTGCAAAAGAAGACTTTGCAGCTCCAGGTCAAGGAAAAGGAGGTGAGAAAGTAGCCCTGGACTGTGAGTGGCTCAGGGAAAACTGCTGGGAGACAGAGGACAAGGGCTTCAAAGTTTAAATTGTGACTGGATGGCCAAGATATTCATTTGCTTCTATAAAAATGTCTTGTTTTTGTTTCCTTCCTTATCTATACCAGCCCCTAATCAAAAAATAGTTATTTTTTACAGTCATCCTAAACTCAAACACATATGATAAACACATTAACTTCTCAAGCTTTGTCCATTTGAGTATGTTAAAGCTTTTACATAGTGTCTTTTAAATAGCAAAAACTTTCCTATGTACAAACTCACAAACATACATATCCCTGGAAGCATTGGTAAGCAACTAGCTCCTAGGAAAGAAACTTGTACTAAAGTCACTTCCAGATCTTTTGTGCTGTAAAAACTTCACTTTTTGATACTCCCACCTACAAAAGCACTTGCACATACACTGTCATATAGTAGCATTTACATGTATAATATGTAATATATGCAACATAATCAATGTTCAACTGAACACATTCCAGACAAACTAGGTGAGAGAGTAGAAAGACAAACTGAAATCTCTGAGAAAGGCTGGGAAGAAAGAATGATTCATTCAAGTGAAGGAATACGGTACTCAGAGCATTCTCCGCTTCCCGGGTTTATCACAGACAAAACTGGTAGTGATGACCTTGTTGATATTTTCCCCAGTGCAGAGAACTGCATTCAGAATTAGACAACCTCAGTGATGAGTACCTCTCCTGCATGAGAAAGTTGCAGCACTGTCGAGAAGAGCTGAACCACAGCCAGCAGCAGCCGCCCAGAGTAAGACGGTCCATTCTCCTGTCCAGCCCTAGATGATGGTGGTTTCCTTTTCAGCCAAGTCTTGCAGATAAAAATCTCTTAGCCCATGACAACATCTGGTCACTCTGTTACACTCTACTTGGTTTAATACTATGCTGACAGTACAGCAACCATGAAAAAAAACACTGGCTTATGCATGCAAGCCCAGTTTTCATGAAACTCTTGAGCCTGGAAAAAGACTTAATACAGGTTAAACATCCATGATCTAAAAATCTGAAATGCTCTGAATCCAAAACTTTTTGAACACTGACATCATGCTCAAAAAGTGTGAGATTGGGCAAGGGGGTGTGTATCAAGTGGTAGAGCGCTTGCCTAACATGCCCTTAAAGTCCTGGGTTCAATCCCCAGTACACCAAAAAAATTTTATTAAAAAATGGTTTCACATTTTAGAGCATTTCAGATTTTTAAAATTAGGTCTGTTCAACTGGTAAAATCTATGAAAATATTACAAAATCCAAAAAACTCCAAAATCTGAAACATTCATCGTCCCAGGCATTTCAGATAAGGGATACTGAACCTGTATTAGCTTAAATACCAGAGCGTTCTTTAGGCTACAGTGAACATGACAATGACAATGGGAGGAGAGCAAAAGTACTGACACACATGAACAGGGAATATAATTTTGCTGAGTTATTTTCCACTCCTGATTATTTGTATCAGCATTTCAGTGTTCGGCCCTTACTGGATATGATTTCCTGAGCCAGGTTTTATCCCAAGGAAGATGACAGAAAATGGATGGGACAATGAAGGAAAAAGCTTTTTCTCTGCCACCAACCCAAGAGGTTTTTCCACTAGTCTAGAACAGGATGGACTATGCTTGCCCTACTTTCTTCAACTAACTCATGGCTGCTTTCTTCTGTCTCCACCTCCCTTCACACAGAGGCAATGTGGCCAGTGGTTCCCAATGTTAATGGTGGTGATTGCTACAGCACTGGCAGTGTTCCTGGCTAACAAAAATAATCTACTGATCTGAATAACTTGTGACATGTGCCTGGAGTAAAATCAGAAGCAAGCAACTCAACGAAAAGCTCAGACAGTTTGGGTACTTTACAGCTTGGATTTCCCCTCCAAATGAATTGGAATTTCTATTTTTTTTTTAACCTGCTATAAATAAACTTCCCAAGACTGCTCCTTGGAACTTTCAGTTTATTCCTGAATAATATATCACAGTTATTACACTTAAATATCTTGGTCTACTCTCCTTAGCCCAATTCAGGTAGAAGTATATCAACATATCAGTCCTCCTGTTTTCCTAGGAGACACTATTTGCATAGGGCAAGTACCATACAAGGGTATACTGCTAGTCTTCTACAACCCTTTCTTTTCTCCAGCATCCCTTTCCTTCTACCTCTTTCCAATGAAAAATGAATAGATACCTCTGCTAAGTACAGATTTCCAAGTACTGAAATGGCAAACATGTACTACCAATGCTATCACCACCACCACCACCTATTCCCATTTGCATATGTGGCCAATTGCTCATAGCATTCTTCCCTCATGTTCTCAAGACACTTGGAATTGGCACTTGACATGATTCCTATTTGACATCACCAATCCAAAGATGTTTATTTACTGAATACCTTCTAGATAGGAGGAGAATTAAAGTCAGAGGGCCACAACTGGCAGTGTCACTATCTCAGAGGAGATGCTGAGGTCAGCAAAGTCATTCTGAGTCCTAAATCGGGTTCTGAGATCCTTCTCCCAGGCATTTAGAATATCCCTCAGGTCTGGGAACAAGCTCTCTGGGATACTAAAGGAATATAGCAGTATTGGAGGTTGACCTAGCAGCCACGAAATCCTGGCAGTAAACACCCGTAATGGGATTAGGGCTAAGCAGTTGTCATTTCCTTGGTTCATGTGAAAGGTGTAAGACACAGGATAGCCCAGGAGGATCCCAAATAAAGTACAGAGATTCCAGTCTGTGGAATGGAGCCTGCTATGGGAGACACCTACAGACAGGTCCCTCTGCAGGCCATGCAAATGCATGATGAGCTCGGTCACGAGGGCCTTCAAGTCCTGAAGCCGGTCCAATGAACAGACAGAAGGGTGAGGATGTTTGCTGGAAATATCCACCACGGCTATGGTACCAAGCAGCACCTGCTCCAAATGTTCACATACATGCTTAAGATTGACAATGAGGCTATTTTCTCCAATCTCAAGAATGTGAAGTCCCAGGGCCAGGAAGCCCAGCCCCTGCAGCTGCCCCAGGTAGTTCTGAAGCTCCAATACTCCTGCAGAGTTGCAATCATAGAGCACAGCTGGTTTCAGTCCCCGGGCCACAGCCAGCAACTCTCCAGCTAGGTGGACGCAGATGGCTCGAGGAGGACTCTTTCTCTTTCCCATGCCCAGAGTCTGCTGAGCAGCTGCCACCAGTAGCTGAGGGCTCAGCGTTGACATGAGATCTGGAAGCAACATCAAATATGGCCTCTTTAGCTAGCAACAGTTCCCTTCCCTGGGTTGCAGCTCAGCTACAGACACCTGAGAGAGCCTACAAAGAAAGTGGTAGCAATGAACTGTTAACACCAGCCAGTGGCAAACCAAGAAACCTACCACAGCCTTCCCATTAAGTCTTATAGTATCTCCCAATGATATTTTGTCCTTTCTCTCTAATTCAGAAGGCTGATCCAGGCCAGTAAAGATGAGGTCACCAATGCTACCCTATTTCTCTGGCTTACTTAGTATTCCTTAGTCTCAGATTCGTATCTTTCTGGGTTTATAGCCAGATTTATATTATCTCTGATTTCTAAATTTTACCTGTTGAAAATTATGTTCTCTGATTAAAACCTTAAGAAGTTTAAAGCAGAGAAGAGGCAGCACAGTCTCTGGCAAACTCATTGCATTTCACCTAAAACGACCCTTCTGGGACAGAGTTTTTGGTTCCAAATGTACTCTTTCCACGGCCAACTTCCCTTTTAGTGACTAGCTGCAATAGCAATCCTATTAAACTAACATACACTAGAATGTGAACAATCATCTCAACCTGAGATATAAAAATAAACGTAATCGGCTAGAACTGCAGGAAAGTTGTGTTTTAACCTCTGCTGACCTCGCCTTCCCCTTCTGGCAGCTATCCAAGGACTGTGGGACGTTAAATTGCATCCAACACACGTACCGCACATCTGAGATTAAAGTGACGGGGTTAAAGCGGCAGGTGTTCTAGCTTACAAACGTTCGGCTTCCGCTTCCGCTGCAGGTTCGCGGGCTCAGGAACTTCTTCCGGTGTCCTGGCTGCTGCTGGGAAAGGCGGCTAGGGCTCGGCGCCCCACGACAATGGAAATCCCGCCCGCGCGAGGAGGACCTGGCGAACTAGCTCAACTCCATGTCGGCGAGGACAGCCAGTTGCGAAGGCGCGCCCTTTCGGTTCTCCCGTTTCTCCCTCCAACCCAACCCTCCCATGACGTCACCCATTCCGCTCAAGCGCCTCGCCTGGCCAAGCAGTCCTCCGGCTTGCCGGAAGTATGGTCCGCCTGAGCCCCGCCCCTTCCGGCCAGACCGCCTCCAACCCCGCCCGTCTGCCTACGGACTGGCAGGGGCGGAAGTGGAGGAAGCTAGTGAGATTTGTTGCTTGCCGCTGTCCTCGCTTTACCTTGTGGCATACCTTTCTTGAGTTATGAAGTCCAATGGCCCACTTGACCTCCCGGAAAGCTAGAACCAGGGCATACGACATCTATTAATCACGCTTTGCGTTGTGTCTGAAGAAATGCGCTTTTTCTTCCCGACAAACCTTGTCAAGACGACTGACATTTTGCAAAATATCCTCACCTGTGGGTGGTGCTATAAAGCTTTTTTTGGTTTTCCCGCTTTGATGGCCCTAAATTATAAATTTGGTAGTCTTGACTTTCAAGGAGGGAAGGTATGAAACCGTGAGGTAGGACTAGGTTGTGACTCCGTGGTAGAGCACTTGCAGGGCATGTAAGAAACCCCGAGTTCGATCCCCAGTACTACCAAATCTTTTTAAAACCATAAAATTCCATTTAAAAGCACACCCATTAAAAAAAACAAAAAAAGTCATCTAATACGTTCTAGGCCTGCTCTAGGAGTGTTTGCATTGTAAAGAACAGACCAACCCCACCCTCATGGAGCTCAAGTTCTAGAAGTCATTTGCTGATTTCAAATGACAAAGATTCAGAGGCTTTTCCATCATATCTTTTCCATCAGGTCGGTGCAAAGGAAAAGTGTTACTTGACATAGGGAGGTGTCACTCTTAGCTCTACCTTGGTGATATCTGCAAATTGTGAAAAGAGATAACACATAGGAGTAAAGATGGAACCAGCATTGAAGGAGGACCAGGTTGTAGGGGTGTAACTCTGGTTTTTAGCTCAAAGAAGCAGACTAGAAAATAGTCTAATTTTTTTCCATCCCATATTTATTTATTTTACTTCCCCATGGTAGTTAGCAGTAAACTCTCAAAATGGAAGACTTATTTAGTTCATTCATTTATTACAGCAACAAATACTTGTGAACAAACTGCATATCAGGACACTGTTGTAAGGACTGGAAGCAAATTCCAAGATAATCTTCACCTTTAGCAAGTTTGTAACTAAGCAGGACACAGATGCTTAATAGTTACAAAGGACATGATTATTCTAAAAGTGAAAGTTTAGGGTGCTGTTGGAACATACAATCAGGGACCTAGTTATATGGGAAAGGGACCAGCCCAGATTCAACACTTGCTCTCCTAATTTACCTGTATTAGGTTCTTTTTAACTTTGAACTAATGTAGTGTGGTGGTGGTGTGCATAGTGATAAAAAAAGAAGTGCTGGCGACAATCTAACTTCCCTTCCCAGTCTTAAGCAAGGTGAAGGCAAGGGAGTACAAGACACCTAAAGAATGAGTAGTATAGCCACCAAAGTGGATAATAGATTGAGTGCCCAAGAAAGGATACCAAAACTGAGAAAGAATACTGGAGATGATCAGAGGAGATCCCCACATGTACTCTCTCAGCATTCAGAACAAAATTCAAAACAAGGAAGATACTGGGCTATCTGGTTAAGACCATATAAAACCATTCATCCATCCCTCTGACACACCTGTAGACTTTTCCAGTCACATAGTAAAAGCTTCGTCCCTGGCACTTCAGAACACTATTTTCAACATTCTTTACCAGCTCATATTATCTAACCTCCCATCCAGATGGACATTTCACAGAAAGGAAAGGAACCAGCCCATACTCAACAGCTATCCTCCCACTTTATCTACAATGGGTTCCTTTTAACTTTGAGCTCACAGATGCTGATGGGGGTAGCCAAACATCAAGATCAAATCTCTCACTTTACCCACTCAACAAAATGACCCAAAAAATGTAAAATTTCTATGCTTTGTACAATTCCAAGTTTCTAAAAGCCCAACTTTTTCTTGGAGCTGGGCACTTGAGATCTTTATCCATCTTTCTCTTAGCTGCGCTTTTAATAACAGCAGGTTCCACTAGGTCTCTTGGAAATCCTTAAACTAAAACATTTTAAATAAATAAGTCCCATTGTCACTTTTAATTAAATTGAGCCTTTAGGTTTTTAAATAAAGCTAACCCAACTTTCAGTTATTTGAAAAGTAGGAGGTGGTTTGGTTTAAGGGTAGCAGATGACATATGTTTCCTTACTATGACCTGACACAAATAGATATCAGTATTAAAGAGGACTGGGGACTGCAAACAAGCTTAGCATCTTGTTTTCCATTTAGGACTTGCAATTTAAATTATGTATAAATTCATCTTAAAGAGAAAGAGTGGAGCTGAGCAAAGTTTACTAGATACAAGACCAATTGTGACAGATAAAGCTACACTGCTCTATACCACTCTCACCCTCATAGTTCACACCCAGATACCTCCCCTAGCAAGGAAGATGAACAGGTTTACATCAGGTAAGCCTTTCCCAGAAGAGTACTACTCAATCCTTCTTCACCCTGGCCTTAACACAGCCAACAACGTCTTTTTATTTTTCCCAACTGTGAAAATCCAAATGACAGGAAGACTCTTTAAAATCTCCAAGCAGCTGGGCATCATGGTACATGTCTATAATGTCAGCCCTGGGGAGGCTGAAGCTGAGTTTGGGGCCAGCCTGGGCTACATAGCAAGACTCTGTCTAAAAAAAAAAAAAAAGCCCAAAAATAAAAGTCTGTAAGAAGCAAGAAGAACTGTCCCTTTTGTCTTTTGTACTCAGAGTATGTCCTAGGTGCCCAACTCCCTCCCAAGTCTTCCTCAGAGAAGGAAACAAGAAAACGAACACTCTGGTCTCTGAAGTCTACCATTGGGTTACATGTGCTCATCCACCACACACACAAGGTTTGAGTGGTGGCAAGGTACACCTGACAACCTCTTCTCTCACAGGATCCCTAGGCTTTCTGTGCCACCAGCTTCCTCTTAGATTCTCAATTTATAAGCTTTTACTCCACAGGTCGAGTGACTTTCAGACTTTGGCACCCATTTCTATTTGGATATCAAGCTTGGTTTCTAGGCAACCAGTCAGCTCCTCTCCCTCTTACTTCCCCCATCAGGGAGCCAGCTTACTAGCAGAACAGGTCAAACAGAACTCATTTCAGGACAAATCAGTGCTTGAGGGAACTTTGATGAAAGCAAAAAAAAAATAAAAAAGAAGAAAAATGTGGTGTAGGAACAATGCAGAAGGGTTCTGTTCCAGGCGGTTTTGCCCTAAACAAGTATAATGAAGTATTCTACTCAGTTTTAAAGCTGAATGCAAGTCTGGGCATCATCCCAATCCTTATTTATTTACAAGTGATAAATTTGAAGCCCAGAGGTTAAATGACCTTTTCAAGGTCACACTGGAAGCAAAGCTGCAGTTAGAACCCTGGTGTCCAAACTCCCAGATCAAATCTCCTTCTACTACATCATACTACCATGAGAAGTTTTAAAAAAGAAAAGGAAATTCTGAAGGGTGATTTTTCCATAAATTAAATCAACTTTAAAGGCTAGGCATATTTGGAGTCACAGACTTCTAACAGAAAAGGAAAGAGATTTAAAAGCTGGTTAAATTTGAAAAATAAAAAATATCACTATGTACAGTATTGTAAAAAAAAAAAAAGGGAGAAGATGGCATTCATGACTACTGGGCAGGCAAAGCAGGGGGCAATTGCATGTTGGGGGTAGGCTGCATAGGCTGCCAACTATCCTGGGTTTGGAGGATGCGATACAGCTGCTTGAGCTGAGCAACGATGTTGTCTTTGATGTCTGGAGTTGAGATTTGCAGGCGAACACTGCCACTATCAAAGGACCGTGTGAAATCACCAGAAAACATCTCATAGATCATCCGAGCCACCACTGGAATGACCTGTTCAGGCACAAGCACACAAGAATCTACTGAGGAAAAGGTATTTTTACATAGCAGGAGAGATGTAAAATTGAAGAACCAATGAGACCCTGGGGAAGCTACCCACTCTAATATCTAGATTCATAATACATCTTCATCTCTCCAGACCATCATTCCAAGGTTCACTTTAGAAATTGACTAATTTCAAGGAAAAGAATCTAGATGTAGCATCATATCACATGCCTAAATGAATGGCTGCTTATTAAGCAAGACTTCTAGCCAAATGTTATCTATTGCCTGTCTCGTTGCACAACTGTGGGGCAATCTCAAGTGGCCATGCTGTTACTCCTAGAATACGGTTACAGTCTTTAAAAAACACAAAAGGTTTTTATAAGAAAAGCTGGAAACAGTTCTATTTCTAAGGTTTTAGCAAGACTCCAATGTCAGTAAGAGAATGAAAGGTAAGATTTCCACTAAATCAGACACCCATTTTAAGGACTTCACATTCTTCAGCTTGGTCTTCTGTGCAAAGTTTGAATCTGTCCATCTGATGGAATTAAAATACACACAGACTAATGGATGCTCAATCAGGACTGGACCAAGACATGAGTGCTAAAGCACTGACAAAAAGAGAAGTTGTTGGCACATTCTTATCTCCTCACCTGTACCAAGATAAGTTTCCTTTCCAGGGGTTTTCCATCTGGCCATTCTTCCCCAAAGCATAAGTAGATCTCAAATGGTGGCTGCTTCTCTATCTGTCCTTTCTGGTGGGCAATGAGATCTGCAGAAGGTGAAAGAGCAGGTTTGGTACACTGGGTCATTCCATATCCACTCACATTAGTTCTTGGTCACATTAGTCACACTTACCTGCTCAATAGTCACATGTGGCTAGTGGCTGCCACAATTTTCCATCATATCAGAGAGTTCTATTGAACATCACTAATCTATTCTTGGGATTCAAACCACATTGTGAAATTCACATCTCAATGCTGTCTTTAAAATTGTCAGCTTGAATCACCACTCATGTATTTCCTCCTGACCCCACAACAAAAAAAAAAGTGTATTTTTCTTTTCTGGAGCTGGGTGGTGGGGGCACTTAGATATGAACTCAGGACCTTGCACTTGCTAGGCAGGCGCTTTTACTGCTTGAATCACTCTGACAGCAAGAGGATGTTTTTGCTGAATATGATTGACAAGGTCACCTTTGAAAATCAAGGTGAGCTGGTAATATTTGGAGAGGTGATGGCAAGACTTCCCCTCTCTTCTGCCACACTGAAGGGGTCAAAACCAACCTAAACATAGCCTCCAAGTATATAGCCTTAGCATGGAATGCCTTTCTTCATTCCCTAGGTCACTTTCATTTTTCAGAACCAAAGTTCTGGCTTGACTCCCTCCAAACGACATTTTTTGGTTAAGATCTTTACTAAGTAGGCTAGGAGCATGGCTCAAGTGGTAGAGCACCTGCCTAGCAAGTGTGAGGCCCTGAGTTCCAGCCCAGTACTGTCTCCCTCCCTCCCTACCCCCCAAAAAATCTTTGCTGGGCCAAGAAAAGAAGAAGGAGAAAGAGAAGGATGGAGGAAATAAACTTCCAGGGAATAATTCCCACCATCGATGTTCCAAAAAACAACTCACCACTCAGGAATGTTTCCAGACAAAAGAGCTTGACCTTCTTTTGTCTCTCAATCAGGTTGGGGGCAACAAGTGATGGGGCACATGGTCCAGACCAGTACACTTTGCACTGGCACAGCCTGATGGCATAAATGGCATGACCGCTGACCTCCAGGATCAGTCCTCTGTCCATGACGTCCAATAGCTTGCTAGTGAACAGCTTCTGCTTCTCATTGGTGATATGCTCTGGTCCTGGGAATTTAACCTGCTCAAGACTGACAGGACCAAAGAGCTCCTCCTGGTCAGGCATGGGACCCAGGTCCCCATAAAAGAGCCGACAGCCCTGGGGGTTGCTCACAGTCATGGTCTGCCCATACTCCTTCCCACGGTACTGAAACTTGATGTCCAGGTCAGTCACTGCAAGGTGAAAGGCAAGAGTGAGAATCTTGTTCTACTGCTCTGCCTGCCCGTCCCTAAGACTCATGCAAGTATCTCATGATCACACCACCTTTCGACCAGCATTCAGGAAAGACATTGCCATAGTTACCCTTCCTGCAATAAGGGAAACATCAACATTTCCTTGGAATAGTCACACAAAAGGGTTAAGGTTCATCTATACTATTTCTGTTCAATCACCACACCCTAAGGACTAGAATTTTACCAAGAAAAGTGTTCAATCCTGGTATCCCATGCTATACTTAGTGAATCTTCACATAATAGACATTGGAAGAAACTAGGGCTGGAGGAATGGCTCAAGTGGTAGAGAGCCTGCCTAGCAAGCCCAAAGCCGATGCCCAGAACCACAAAAAAAAAAAAAAAAGAAAAGAAAAGAAAAGAAAAAAGGAAAAGAAAAAACGGAAGAAACTAAAAACTAAGGTTTCTGGTTTATGTTTCAATTTTGTCTCATTGTTTAAAGAAACTAGAGGAACAAGAAGAAATACCAAGCCATCTTTCTCAAAATCACACGTGTTATCACATGCT